ATCATCATCATCATCATCCAAGGTCGTGTTATCTGAATAATTTTAATTATCTCTCTCTCATCTTCCTCCAATCCATTCATCTATCAGGAACCCAAACCACATTTATCTTATCTCTCTACCTATACAACAATCCAACCGTTCATTCTTTCATCTTTTCATCCATTAATGCATCTAACCAACCATTCCTCACATCCACCAATTATATATATAGAAAACGCCTTACATCTTACTACAGTCTAGTACTTAACGTACTTATTCTTGCCGTCAATATAGAGTATCAACCCCGATCCACTCGGAATCCAGGTGAACACCACGTGATGCCACGCCCCTCTACTCATAGGAGCTGATACAGACCAACTTGTCGTTGTAGTCATAACCATTACTTTTATCTGCATTTGCTCGACGTACAAAGCAAAACCACGCGATGTTGCCCAAGTCGAATCTCCAATGGAATCCACCAGGAATTTGCGTGAGCCCCAAGTAGAGGTAGGAGCATCAAGATTTACGATCAACGACACACTTAGACCAGCATTACATGCATCAGCATCGCCAATACACTGATTTGGATAGTCTCCCGCGGCAAGATAAGAATTGTAACTCCCGAACTGTAGGACATTTCTGGTGTTCTGTTGAACATTTGCTCTAGTGACATTGCCAAAAACTTGCGCTGGGGTAGTACCCAAGGCTTTTTCATTGACAAGTGCGTCTAAGGGCCAGTAGGCGTCAGTTCCACTTATCCAGTCTGAAAACAAAAACAAAAAAACTCATCAATAAAGTAAAGGATTTACCAAGGATCGTAAGATGAGGGTTGAGTTTGATGGTCTGAGTGAAAGTTATCTTCAGAAAGACTGTTGCTGGTGGTGACCGCCATCCGGTAAGGGAGACAATTGAAAAAAGGGTTTGAACCCATGATCGTATGATGAGTGTTGTGTGCGACGGTCTTGTTGAGGAAACGTTTCAAAAACGTTCTTGGTATTTAGTGACTAATGTTTCCACAATCTGAGCACTGGTCATGGTCTTCTTCAGAGTCAACGAGTAAGAGGTTAGCAGAAGACCTCTCGTCATGGGTCTCAAAATGTTGTTGAAAATGTTTTGCGCTGCCTGTATCAGTAAAGTGAAAATAAAGAGAAATAGCTTATATACTTACAACTTGTTTTGGGATACTTTTTCGCGTGCGGAGTACCTACCGATTTTCAAAATCATGTAAAGATTAGTGTTTTGAATATATTATTAAAAAATTATATAGCAATAAGTCTAGAGATAAAGCATCAGTGTCAGTCCACACGGCAAAGATAAGAGAGTCTGGTTATGCTAACTACTACTGTTTACCATTTCGGAGTGACACCCTTACTTTTATAGAATATGAAAGATTGATGGTAATGTAAATGCTTTGGAAGTGGGAGTTATATTGCAATTACTTATTGCCGCTAGAGTTGCATGAAAAGATCACATATCATATTTGCCATCACAATGCAATGGGTTCCCTGTGCTACGACATAGACTATCGCTGAACATTCGGGTAATGGGCTGCCGATTTTTGAATATCGGCTCTTCTTTAAGAATGACCGTGGCTCTTAACTGGCCCCGATTAGCATACTACTTATAGAAGTTATCATGGTTATGATACCTGGACGAGCTCGGGAATAATGTCCGGGTGAGAATCAATAGGCCATTTGAGGACACAATTACGTGAAGGTTAGCAAAAAATTCTGATTTCTCTAGTTTAACTATTGTTATGTAGTTATACCAGCATTGGGATGAATTCATTGGTTATTGAGATGGTAAAAGCCTATTCCTATTTGCTTTTCGCCATATTACATAATTAAACTGAAAAATATTTTTACATCTACTAACTTAGTTTTTTCTTGCAGATAAAAGGCTTGTATTGTCCACAGTCAACATCCCTCCACGCAGCGCGGCTGGGTACCAGCTCTACGCAAGATTTAGCATCTGCGGAAAAAGAAGTCAAACATCTTAGATATTGGATAACAGAATATGATTCTACTAAGGAGATCAATTGTATGGAAGTTCTAATGTATATGAACTATATGTAAGGTATAGTAAGTAAGCTGTAATCGTTAGCTTTGCCTCAGATCAGTGCAAACCTTACAACACCTAAGGCTTTCATGTATTTTAGGCATGTCAATAGTTTCTACATGGTGTTTGAGCTTATGATGATGATAATGATATTTATATAGCGCTCTTTTCAATATGGATATGTTCAAAGGCGCTTTACAAAGAGTTATGAACGAGAGGTGGTTAGTATGAGGTGTAGGCAATAATGGTGGTCACTGCCAGGGTTTCTTTACGTCCTCATTGGTTCTTTTACGTGCTCCGATATTGGATAGTAATGATGAGTGTGGAGAGACGGGTCCCCCATTTAAAGTGGTCGTCCGAGCCACGTCAAAGTTAATCCATTTGCAGATATAATTACGAAGGCAGCACCTTCTCCTCAGTTATTTTAAGACCCTGMTTGTTGGTCCGGCCGAGGCTTGAACCACGACATCCCGCACAACAGACCGACGCTCTTACCAACTGAGCTAACCGGGTGGCTGTTAAGACATTGCTGCATCCCGCGCAACAGATCGACGCTCTTACCAACTGAGCTAACAGGGTGGCTGTTAAGACATTGCTGCAACATCGATGTTTCGTTCGGCCATGCAGGTTTCCATGCTGGGCCGTAGCAATGCAAATTCTTTTGAGGGGAACAAGCTGGGCCACCAAACTATATAGGGAGCATAGCAATACCACAAGCAAACGAGGAACCCGGGCCCCTCCGCCCCCTCCCCTAGGCACAACCCTTGTAGCACCAGTGGTAACACTTCAGCACCTTGGTGGCTGTACTTGTGAATGTGTTTGGATGGTGCGTATCAGTGTCCTTCCATTGGCTCTTAGTCATTTTAGGGTATCCGGCGGCAAGTTACAAAATTATAGCTAGTTTGATTTACTTACTGGTTTTGTCTTTAGGATATCCAGAATCCCACCTGGTCACCACATATGGACTGCGATCACTCCAGTAAAATAATCGGTTCGACTGCCTGTCATTCAACCCTATCCACAGGGAGCCCACTGAGTTGACTAGAGATTTTAACCTGTTGTCAATGTAGACCCGCTCATTGTTTGTTACGATACTCAACAAATCACCACTTTGACTAGTACATGTGGCACGAGCGTCTGGCAAAAAAAAAAAACGTTTTTATAATTTTTTATGGATTTCATGTGACTTTAGTGAAACCATGTCAAAAATAGATTTGGGTTTAGGCAAGGACGGATCCAGCGGTGCTATTCACCCCCCTTTGGCTCAGTCTTATCCTTAGAAAGCCACCTGCTGACTAAGGATAAGACCTGATAATTCCTGGTAAAACCCGTAATAGTCATCCCCCTTCTAAAATTCCTGAATCCGCTACTGTTGGGAATTCATGATTATCTGTTTCTTATGTTTTAGAATGAAGTTTATGGCATAAACTACATAGTGGATATGGGATCATCACACATATATGAAAATTGTCTACGTCACAGATTGGTGTCATGTATGTAGATAAGTTATGTTAACCAATATGTTAAGAGAGCAATAGAGCATGTTGAATGGGTAAGAGCTCCCATACGCTACCGACCTGCCCATATCTTGAGTTGATTGGTGTTAAATTGGTAACACGTGTTATCTGGTCCTTCTTCCCATCCTGATTTGCATTTAATCGAAGAAGCTACAATTATAGGAAAAAAAATGCATAAGAATCTTAACTGATAAACAAAATTTAAAGTTGTATTTCCCCTAGAGCGAGTTTGTGAGATTGTTTTTATTGCATCCTGGTGCAATGTTTTCCCATTTCAGACCACGTGTCATCATCTAGAGTTGATTTATTTGTTTACGTTTGCGTATGAAAAGACACATAAATATGGTTACAACCCAAAAAGAGAATAAAACTTGGTCTGAAATGGAAAACAGACATTGCAAAAAGACGAATTAGTTGGTATATTATTAGGTCTATTATTTAGAATCAGTTATCATTTACCTTGGCCTTCACATCCATATATTTCAGTCCTCATGCAGATGGCATTGTTCCATGCTAACGGGTAGATCCTAATAAACCTACAGTTTATTGTCCCTGAAAGCATGATGTTGACGATAGCATCTGAGGTCGTGCTGCCCCTTAGGGTCTAAAACAATAATGAKAAAAAAATTGCGCGCAAAAGGTTATTTTTTGTCTAACTTTACTGGATTTTTCCATACTTCTATTCCCATGCACAAAACAGAAAATTTCTGTCACGCGGTTCCATAGGACTTTAATGAATTATGAAACGACACAGTCACGGTACGCGTACATCGACGTACAAATGACCAATCACTTTCACTGCGAAAACGCTCGGACAAAGCACTATCACGATTAAGGAATAGACCTCTATAGCTTGGGATTTTTTTTCCTTTTCAGGCGTATAGTCTGAAATGGGAAAAAATACTTCTAGACTAAAAAAGGTCTTTGTGCTTGTATTTTAGCTATTCGCAAAACATTAAATTTCAAAATTCATTCATTATTTCACTCTGCTAATATCGAATCTTAATTAGAATCAATCTTCACATTTCTACGTACTTACCTCATAAGATTGCGTTGCGTTTTCACCGTAGGTAATAAACGTTTGGCCGTCATTTCCGTAACGCACATAAAATGTTTTAACAAAATCACTTGACTTTGGTCTGCCTTGGACTGCAATATGCGTTACTTGTCTGATAAGGCCAAGGTCAATTTGTAGATATTCATCCTGAAATTACCAATTGTGAACAACATTGAAAACCAAGGATTGAGAAGAAGGTCCCCTTCACAGTTCCCCGCGCCATCTTGAAAGGTAGCCGTGCCTTTGCATCGAAGCGAGACGTACGATGATAGAAACATGCGATTTATTGTCCAAGGTGTTTAAAAAGGTCTCTGTCATTGCAAGCTCACCGTTTTTCTTGCTTTGATGCAARGGCCCGGCTACCTTTAAAGATGGCGCAGGGAACTGTGAAAGGGACTGTTGTGGGAATAAAACTATAAAACTGCTTATACCTTCTTGTTATTTTTTGCACACCAAGCACCTGACGTACTGCTAGACGGCTGCAATTTCAAACGCGCTTGTGAAGGTATTGATATTGAATCTTTATAACTGCTAGCGGTGATCTGAGAGTCAGCTATCTGAAGGTTCTCCATGCCGAGCGGGGAATTACACTGATCATAGCCTGGGAGGAAAAGAAAGGGAACATTAATAGCTGAGCAATGTATTAAGCTATCCTATTTAAATAAAAATATTAAATAAAGGTATCAAGTATACGGTTGTACAGTAGTCCACTCGTCTATACACCGGAGGTCCTGGGTTCAATTCCAGGACTTGACATCATTTATTAAGTCTCTCCCTAGATTCGGGTTTTTTTTCTTCTACGGGTTCTCCAGTTTTCCTCCCTCCACAAAACCTAGCACGCTAAATTCCAATTTGATCTGCGACATAGCTGTGCCCTGACTTTGATCAGCCCAGCCGTTGTTCAGGTCAGACGTTGTTCAGGGCTTGATCTGTGAGTTAACAATGCCCTGATGTTGACCAGCCAGAAGGGTTGTTTCAGGGTGATCTTAGAGTTAGCTGTGCTCTGACTTCTAAGATCATCCTAGAGGTTGTTTTAGGGATCTATATACTGACCTCTTTTCCTTCTGCAAACGTATGCTCTCATGTACGAGCAGTTTGTTGTAGCCCATGTACCATTATCAGTACTAGTCACTAGTACCGCACAGTCTTTATTAGCAGCGGCAGCACCACCTCCTGGTTCACTGGGTGACCAGTTCTTGTAGTCCAGGGCAGATCTATTGATTTAGAACACAAAAAGTTCGTTCAAAGTCAATATTTTTACATGAGAGATTTCATTATCTCGCCCTACTGTCGCTCTTAAAGCAGGGTAGATATATATTCACAAGATAACGTAACAACCAAAGACATATCTACCATAGAGGAGCTGACAAAACAAAACAAAACAAAACGAAACAAAACAAAATAAAACGAAACGAAACGGAACGAAACGAAACGGAACGAAACGGAACGAAACAAAGCAAAGCAAAGCAAAGCAAAGCAAAGCAAAGCAAAGCAAAGCA